TTTTTTTTTTTGTGTCTGTCACTACTTTTTCTCAGCTCTCACTGGACCGATTTCTTTTAACAATACGTCAAAAGATCACAAATTGTATCTAGTTGAAGACATTACCCTTAAAAATTTAAAAATTTTTCCTCGTTCCACTCAAATGGGGGAAATATCCAAAAAAATTACAAATTTATTTTGTAATTTTATTCACTTTTTTTTCTTAAAACTTCCATAATTTTTTCAAAAATAAACAAATCAACATAACTTTTTTTTATACTAAAACCTTAGATATTTCCCTTTCATTTGATATCATTTTTTTGAAAATCTAACACTTAACCTGCTCATTAGAGGGGATTTAAAATAGCAACTTTTTTACAAAAACTAACTTTTTCAACTTAATTTTTGAAAATGTTCCTGAAATACTGCGTCCTTTAAACATATATCAAATTAAAGCTTATTTTATGTACTATAAAATGAAAAAAAAAAATTTGTCCCGACACCTTATCTTCTATGTGCAAATGGCAGTCGAAATTATAAAAAAAATGTAATATTTGCGATAAAAATCACCTTTTCTAACGATGTTTTTTGTACTTAAAACTGCCATAACTTTTTCAAATATTAACTAATCAAAGTAATATTTCTTTATATTGAAACCTTAGGTAATTTTCTTTCATTTGATATCATTTTTTTTTGAAAATCTAACACTTATTCTGCTCACAAGGGGGATTTAAAATAGCAACTTTTTTTACAAAAACTAACTTTTTCAACTTAATTTTTGAAAATGTTCCGGAAATACTGCTTCCTTTAAACATATATCAAATTAAAGCTTATTTTATGTACTATAAAATGAAAAAAAAAATTTTGTCCCGACACCTTATCTTCTATGTGCAAATGGCAGTCGAAATTATAAAAAAAATGTAATATTTGCGATAAAAATCACCTTTTCTAACGATGTTTTTTGTACTTAAAACTGCCATAACTTTTTCAAATATTAACTAATCAAAGTAATATTTCTTTATATTGAAACCTTAGGTAATTTTCTTTCATTTGATATCATTTTTTTTTGAAAATCTAACACTTATTCTGTTCACAAGGGGGATTTAAAATAGCAACTTTTTTTACAAAAACTAACTTTTTCAACTTAATTTTTGAAAATGTTCCGGAAATACTGCTTCCTTTAAACATATATCAAATTAAAGCTTATTTTATGTACTATAAAATGAAAAAAAAATTTTTGTCCCAACGATCTACCTTCTATGCGCAAATGGCCATCGTATTAAAAAATATTCTATTTTTCTACTAAAATTCTAGGTTTTGTATTTTATTTTATTTTAAAATATCTTATTAGGAGAATATATTGACTTTATGAATATTATATTACTTAATAGACATAGAATAAAGTTCATAAGACATAAGAAATTAAACTTATTACATTTTTTTTACTTTTTTAAAGTCGAAAAAGTAATTTTTAAATTTGAGTTAGCTTAAATAGCCAATTTTTTAGCTTCGATGCGAATTTTTTATATGTAAATACTAATTTTTAATAATATTAAAACTTAGATGTGATAGAAAAAGTCTAATTGCAGATTTGAAAACATCGCGAAAAGTTGATTTAGAATTGTATATTTTTGTTACTGATGAAAGTTCCTTGTAATTCAGTGCATTTATTTATAGTAACAAACAGTTTTTATTGAAATTTATTGTATCAAGCCCTTCAAATTTTTATACACGTAAAAATAAAGCAAAATACAACTTCTTTATTATTTTTATAATTTCTCCGTTTAAATTACAAAATTAAATTATTGAATATCAATTTCATACTAAATTTAATAATTATAATTNTATTGAATATTAATTTTATACTAAATTTAATAATTATAATTAGTATTTATTCATATATTATATTTTAAAATCAGAGAACTAATAATTAGGATATAATCAAAGAAATAAGAGTTGATGTTGCTTTTGGAATAATCCACCAATTTCTCTAAATGAAACACTATCTACAGATTTGCATCGAAGCGTTTCTTANAAACATTTGCATCGAAGCGTTTTTTTTTTATAGTGATTTTAATCATGGTCAGATATCATTATACTTGATCCAACTATGCCACGTCACCACTGTGCTACGACCCCCCTGTACTGGATTTTTTTTTATTACGTGTAATAAACGTGTAAGTGTATGCACAACACTAGTCATGATAAACGTACGTATGCGCAACACATACAAATCGTTCAGTGACGCGAAACGGCAATTTTTTCCTTGTGCAAAATATATACCCATAGCTCGCCTAAAGAAGTAGTCACTTCAAAAAAAATTGAAAATCGTACGTCTTTAAATAATTTTTCCAGCATTGGCTAATTTTTCAATGTTTATTATATAATAAGATAATGTTCAATTTATGAAATAGCCAAATTATCGTTTATCAATATCCTAGCCAAACTTTTTGCAATGTTCAACTAATATGTAATTATTGAAATGTCTAAAGTTAGGAAAAAGTACTTTAATTTTAATCACTGTCAAATATCATCTATACTTGTCCCATCTAAGCCTTGTCTACACTGTGCCTCGACCCCACTGTGCTACCGTTTTTTTTTTATATCTATAAAAATATAAAAAAAGCATCTGCTAAATGTCTTTACCTATCATTTGGTATATTTTTTTATAAATTGGACCCTAGATCTACCCACAGGGTGGGTTTTAAAATGACAACTTTTTCACAAAAAATTAACTTTTTCAACTTAACTTTTGAAAGTGTTCCGGAAATACTGACACTTATATATATATATCTTAAATTAAAGGTCATGTAAAATACTTTATCTTCACGGTGAAAAAGGCTACCAAATGCTATTTTTGTGTGAAAATTCTCGATTTTGTATTTAAAATTTTTAACTCTATAATGCTATAACTTATTGAATAGTGTATGGATCAACACAATTTTTTTATGAGAAATAATATTTTTTAATAATCTCTTTCATTTAACATACTTTATCTTAATCAGGATATTTATAAGGAAGTAGCAAACCATGTAACTTTTGGAATAATCCACCAATTTTTTAAATTAAACACTATCTAAAGATTTGCATCGAAGCGTTTTTTTTTTGATAGTGATTTTAATCACTGTCAGATATCATTATACTTGATCCAACTATGCCACGTCACCACTGTGCCGCGACCCCCCTGTGCTGGCTTTTTTTATTTTGAGTTTTATATGTTATAGAAGCGTGTTTTTTAGTTTTTTAAACTATATTTTTTTTACATAAATAGCTCGGAATGTATGTTTTTTAATTAAAAGTAGAATTTATGAATCGCATACATAAAGCGTAAAAGGCATATTTCGCAATTCATAAATATTTCAAGTCAAAGCTGTTCTCTTGAGGGACTAAGTTTAGACTATGGGTTGGCGAAGTATGGTTCACAACCATTCAACTAAAAAAGGAGTTTCTAGCGTTTGAAAATAAAATACTGAGAAAGATATGTGGCCTAGCTTTAAACAGCGAAATAACAGATGGTGCAGAAGGAAAAATGCAGAGCTAAGAGAAACCACTAAAATACCATTACTAACAAGCTACATTAAATGCCAAAAACTTCAATAGTTTGGACAAACAGTTGTCAGATTTTTAAAAATTTTTTATCAAACAATAGGAAAATACCTAAGGTTTTATTAAAAAAAAAGTATTTTGATTTGTTCATTATTCAAAAAGTTATGGCAGTTTTAAGCAAAAAAAATTTTAAAATTATCGAAATTAGCCGATTTTAAAAGTTTTTGGGATTTCCCCATTTACAAGAAACGAGGGGATTTTTTCAATTTTTTAGGGCAATATCTTCAACCAGATACGATTTGTTATTTTGTTGTTCCTCAAAATAGTTACGATAAGAACTGAAAAAAAGTGGCGACAGACTTAAAAAAATAAATAAACCACATTATAGTAAAATTAATACTTTCTCAGCTTCGCATTGAAGCTAAAAATTATCAAGCATCCCTCCAAAATTTATTATAAAAATAATATTTTAGAAAAATTTACGTCAGAAGAAAACTATCTAATACCTTCTAATCTAGAAATCTAAAATTTCTAAACTATGATCTAGCCAAAAAGTCTTAAAAAATAATATCCAATAACAAACCAACAGATTAAGTTTAAACTAAAATATGTAAATATTTAGTTTGTAGAATATTAATTTTTACAGATTATATTTACTTAAATTTTACATAAAATAATGGCACAACACTTGAGTAGAATATAAATAATAGTTCAATTATTATAAACGTAGAAAAATTTACTTACCCATATCTATAATTTCCTTATTTACCAATTTATTTGTAATCAAACAATTTAATAAGTCATGATTTACCTGCTGGAAATAGTTTATGGATTTTACCTGTAAAACTATTATTAGTTAATGGAATATTTAGTGCAATATTTTTATCATTAAAGATATGTAACATAAAGTAAGGATAATGAAAAAACTATGAAACAGTCTAGATTAAATAAATATTAAATTAATTTAAAAAATAAATTTTTCGAGTATTCTAAAAATTAAAACTGTAATTTTGAAAAGTTATTATACTGTTATGTTACTATACTATAACTGACTAATGAATTCATTTAGGTTTTAAATGAATATTTGGTGTATGAATATAGAAAAGTTCAATTTAGAAACTTTTTAAATAAAAATCGTAAAATAAAATGACATTTATTTACAAAATAGTATTTTGAATATAATTAGCTAATATGAATTTATCGTGTTTTAATTTTACTCACAAGAATTAAAAAGGAAAAGAAAAAAAATGATTTCGTTAGAATCATTTTTCTGTAAATCTTAATTTATAAAATGATATTAAAAAAATAACTTTAACGTAATAGCCAATTGCTATTTAAAAGATTTTAACGTTTTAAAATTATATTGATATAAATAATGAATGAATAAATAACGTTTGTTCAAATAAAGTTAAATATGTACTTCTCCTATATGAATTATTTAAAACATTATTGAGTACACATTGCTACTAACAATAATTAAATTTAAAAGTAGTTTTATTTACACGTGTGATAACGACTCACAAGCAAAATATAATTGAACATATTTGTTCAATATCTGCTGTATTGTTCCCACTTAAAATAATTACTGCAATCTCTTATTATTATTTTTTACTTAAATTCAATAATTTTGATAAATGGACGAATTAAAATCATTTTTTAATGGTATCTTAGAAATTTTCCTTTTATTTGGTAATATATTTTCGAAAATCTATCCTTGACTTTACTCGTCCTTGATAGAATTCAAAGTAATAATTTTGACTAAAAAAAGTTAGCCTTGTCAACTTAACCTTTAAAAATATTTTGATGTAAAAAATCCATTTTTCTTGTTATTATAATTATTTATGTCAAGTATTTATTTATATTTTAAATCTCTTGGTATCTTTAAGTGGGGGGGATAATATCAGACTAGTTGAAGTATATTATTATATATAAACAAAAATATAATAATAAAAAATAAAATAAACACATTTTAGAACAACTGAAACATTTCCTGCTACGAATTGAAGCCTTTACCTATTTCAGTTAATAGCGTCATAATCGCTCATGTTGCCCTATTTCTATATATACAATTGCAATAATGATATGATATAAATATTGTTAAAAATATATATAAAAAGAGATTGTTATTAGCCGATACTGTAAAATTATTGCGTTGATTCAAATATTCAAAAAACTTTTTTTCGAATTTGTAAAATTAACATAAGTATGAAAAAAAGTTGAAAGTTTACGGTGTCATCAAGGAATTAAAATTATACACTTTTAATTGACATAAAAACATTTTTTCAACTCATTTGTTTAATATCTTATTTAGATTAAATAACATCAATGAATATCAAGAACCCCAACACTATAGTCTCCCCTCGAGAAGAAATTTCTTATTCATTTTTAAATTATTTTATCATTATTTTAGCTTCGATGCGAAGCTGAGAAGGTATTGGTTTTATTAAGATGTGTTTTTTATTTTTTATTTTTTTTTTGTGTCTGTTACCACTTTTTCTCAGCTCTCATCGAACCGATTTCTTTCAATGATACGTCAAAAGATCACAAATCGTATCTAGTCGAAGACATTACCCTCAAAAATTGAAAAAAATTCCCTCGTTCTCCGTAAATGGGGGACACCTCCGAAAAAATTACAAATTTAAAAATGGCTAATTTTCGAAATTTTTTCAATTTTTTTTACTAAAAACTGCCGTAACTTTTTTAAAAATAAACATATCAATATAATTCTTTTTTTTATATAGATGCATGATATCAATACCTTTCATTTGGTATATTTTTTTCATAAATTTAACCCTTAAACTACCCACAAGAGGAGATTTAAAATGACAACTTTTTCACAAAATATTAATTTTTTCAACTTGATTTTTGAAAATGTTCCGGAAGGTCTGACACTTTTATATATATAATAAATTAAAGCTAATGTAATCTACTTTATTATGTAAAAAAAAAATTTCGGACTTTATTTTATCTTCACGTTGAAAATGGCTACCGAATGCTATTTTTGTGTGAAAATTTTCGATTTTGTATTTTACATATTTAACTTTATTATACTATAACTTTTTGAAAAATGTATGGATCATTACAATTTTTTTATGAGAAGTAGTATTTATATAGATCTTTTATTCGACATACTTTTTTTTTAAATCGGACCATTTCCCTAAATGCAGGGGGGATTCAAAACATGAAAATGCATATAGAAAGTAGAAATTTTTCAACTTAACTTTTGAAAGTGTTCCGGAAGGTACACTTTCATCTTACATCTTAAAATAAAGCTAATGTAATATACTTTATTATGGTAAAAAAAAATTTCGGACTTTATTTTATCTTCATGGTGAAAACAGACATCAAAGTTTATAAAAAAAATACGATTTTTGTAAAAAAATTCTTTTTTATATTTTTAACTTTATAATGCTATATCTTTTTGAAAGATGTATGGATCAATATAATTTTTTTTTATAGATGCATGATGTCTTTACCTATCATTTGGTATATATTTTTTTTATATCTGACCCTTTACCTGCCCACAGGGGGGGATTTAAAATGACAACTTTTTCACAAAAAATTTACTTTTTCAACTTAAATTTTGAAACTGTTCCGGAAAGTCTGACACTTTTATTTATATCTTAAATTAAAGTTAATGTAATCTACTTTATTATGCGAAAAAAAAATTTCGGACTTTATTTTATCTTCACGGTGAAAATGGCTACCAAATGCTATTATTATGTGAAAATTCTCGATTTTATTTTTTACATTTTTAACTTTATAATGCTATGACATATTTAAAAGTATATGAATCAACATTATTTTTTTATAAGAAATAATATTTTTTAATAATCCCTTTTTCATTCGACATACTTTATCTTAATCAGGATATTAATAAGGAACTAGCAGTTTATGAAGCTTTTGGAATAATCCACCAATTTTTTAAAATTAAACACTAACTAAAGATTTGCATCGAAGCGTTTTTTTTTTATAGTGATTTTAATCACTGTCAGATATCATTATACTTGATCCAACTATGCCACGTCACCACTGTGCCTCGACCCCACTGTGCTGGGTTTTTTTTATTGGTTATTAATAATAAAAATTAATCAATATGTTCTTCTTCTTTCTCGCCTTAATCCTAACTACTTGGGGTCGGCCACTCTTATCCTAAACTTCCACTTGACACGATCTCCCACATCCTCTAAACTCACATCAGCTGTCCTCATATCGCCATCTCTCCATCTCTCCATCTCTTTCTTGGTCTTCCTCTACCTCTTCTTCCTTCAACATTTATTGCTACAACTGTTCTTACGGCTTTCGATTCTTCTCTCCTCATAACATAACATCTAAGTCTATTTTCTCTCATCTTATCCACGATAGACGCTACACCAATACTTCCTCTTATGTGCTCATTTCTTATCCTATCTTCTCTAGTCACTCCACTCATCCATCTAAGCATTCTCATCTCTGCTACACTCATTCTCTGCTCTACTTTATTATCAACCGCCCAACACTCCGAACCATACATTATAGCTGGTCTCACTACAGTCTCGTAGAATTTACCTTTCAGCCTCATTGGAATTCTTTTATTCTTTTATTTTATAAATATTTAAATTTATATGTAAAATTATTTTTTAGATTTATAAGAGTAAAAATCTTAACGATAATCATTCAAATAAAATATTAATATATTTGTCATATTACGTACACAAATAAGTTCCCTTTGTTATATTAGGTGTTTGCAGTAAAAATATTATGCTTAATAATGAACAAAAAAAAACTCCACAATGAATCTAATATTTATCTGTAAATAAAAATTTAAAATTTGATATTTTAATAAATTTAACAAAAATTCTAATTGTAATAATTCTCACTGAAAAATAAATGAGTTAATACATCTACTAAAATGATAGTTCTATTTATAAAATGTATGAGGTTAAAGTGAAGTTTTACCGAATATAAGAAACACAGAATAATAAATGAACACAATCAACAAAAAAATTATTCATCAATGTCATGTAACCACCAACATAACTTTCTGTCATGGGAAACATCAAAATTAGTACATTCAAAACTTAATTAATTTTAATGATTTACTTTAACTAAAAGAACCAATAAAAAAGTTACTAAAAAAATCTACTCAATTGAGCGTATTATAAAATTTTATTATTATTATAAAAATTCATTGTTAAATTCCAGAAGAAACTAAAAATAATTTTTTTTTAAATTTTTTATGTGTAACTAAAAAATTTGGAATATTATAGACTGGAAGTAGAAATGGTTAGAAAATTATTGTAATAATAATTTTTTTATAATGCAGCATGGTTTTTTAAATTTATTTAGTACCCTTTAAAATTGTACGAAATTATTTAAAATATCACTTGAAAAAGAAAATATAACTGAACTAATGATTATAACAGCATATCGAATTTTTGTTGGATTTAAGTGTGGTTTTAGAATGTCATCGTTAAAACTGTATAATGAAGTCTCAGAGTGTTTAAGAGTAAGTGGTGCTAGTGCCATCTTATCATCTTGCAATTCAGAATCTGTTGTAATGTTCTGCACCTAAATTAATGAAACAAATCTATATTATGTTTTAAAAATAATGTATTATGATTAATTAATATTTTTATTAACCTGTGGGGCCTATATTAATTATTTTTATTAAAAACTAAAAGACATAATTAAGAAACATTTATTAGTTTGGTTTCTATTTGTAATAAATAAATGTAAGTATGATTGTTTTTTGGAAAAAATGTTTAATCTAAATATATTTGAGTAAAAGAATTTTACAGATTAATAATGAAGATATTATTAGAAATGTTGTAAATGATATGTACAAATATGTTTGTGAAAAAGGCCAATGCATAAATGAAGCGAAGACGTGTTGTTATACATATTTTAGAGAAGTTAATGATTTAAAGAGTATTATGGAACTTATGAACACGCTTTATGAACATTTGATTACAGATTTGAGTAGCGAAAGAAAAGTTTTGCCAACGAAACTTCATGAACAGGACATGATTATCGACAAGAACTACGATCCGATGGAAGAATTTCAAACAGTTGTATTGTCCGAAAATACAGAAGCTGCGGACCACATTAAGGTAGAGTGTTTGTACTAAATGTACCTAAACTTATTAAAAATAATTAATTTGTAAAAATTATATAAGAATTTTTTTTTATTTTTATTAAAAAAAACAATCTGTACTTAAAATTTACATTAAATTTTTTTGTTGACTTATTAAATTAAAAGTCACCCATTAGTAACACCTCGATTAGTTTTAATTGAAGCTGTATACAAGTTATGATTTGTTTGTTGTCGTTAAT